ATATAGCCTTTATTACGTTGAGGTACTTTCTCTATACCCAATTTGTTGAGAGATTTTGTCATGAATAGATGTTCAATTTTTTCTGATGCTTTTTTGTGTATTTATTGCAATGATTATTTTTATCTTTCATTCTATTGATGTGATCCATTAAATTATTCATTTGCATATGATGAATCTTCCTTACATCCCAGGAATGAATCCCCTTGATCATGGTGCATGATCCTTTTACTGTGCTAGTTCCTTGAGGCATAAAGTTAGGTTGTTTATTTGAGATTATTGCTTCTTCTTGATGCATGTCTTTATCATTATAAACTTTCCTCTTAGAACTGCTTTGGCTGTATTCTGTAAGCTTTTGTATGTTGTGTTTCCATTTTCACTTGTCTTAAAATAGTTTAGTTCTTTTTTAAATTTTTTTGATCCATTAGTTGTTCAGTAATGTAATGTTTAATTTCCATGCATTTGTGAATTTTACAGGTTTACTTCTGTTATAGATTTCTAGTTTCACTCCACTGTGATTGCAAAAATTAAATAATATCTATCTTTTTAAATTTGTTGAGACTTGTTTTGTGACCAAACATATGATCTAACCTAGAAAATGTTCCATGTGCACTTGAGAAGAATGTGTATTCTGTGGCTGTTAGATGGAATGTTCTGTATATGTCTTTTAGGTCCATTTGGCTCAGCATGGAGCGCAACAAGGGACTCAATCTCATGACCCTGAGATCATGACCTGTTCCAAGATGAAGAGTCAGATACTCAACTGACTGAGCCACCCAGGAACCCCAATGCATTGTTTTTCTTGTGTTATTTTGTCTGTCTGTGTGTTCCTGTAGTGGATTAAACTTTTTAAAAAGGATTATTCTGAATTCTTTTCAGACAATTCATATTCTTTATAGTGAGTTATAGAAGTGTTATTAGTTTCTTCTTTTGGTAGTACTTATACATAATTCTGTGATTCTTAATTCTTTGCATTGGTGTCTGCATGATTGGGTAAGCTATCTCCTCTTCCAGACTTTATAGGTTCACTTTGCCAGAGAAAGACCTCAACCAGTCAGCTTAGCTTTAGGGTACTGGATGGATCAGCAGATAGCATCAGTTGGAGAATGTCATCAAAAAGATGTGACCACCAACTGACCCATGAGCTGGACCCAGGCATTCAGAGGTGTCTCATCTCCTCCCTTTCCTTGGAATGCGGGCTTTACTTATATTTCCCATTCTCAGAGGCCACTCCAAGCACATGGTCTTGAGATTATGATGTCATGTCGAGAACACCCACATGATATATGTGACTGAACCCAGTTAGGGCTTCTTTACAAACTTTTAAGATTTGGCTGGCACATGTAGGGATCCATTTCTTACTGACAACCAAAAGAAGCCCCATATGTAATTTCCCTTTGCTTATTAAAACTTTGCTTATTAAAACTCCCTACTAACTTGGAGTGGCCTGTCTTTTTCTTCAGTCTCTCTCTACCCTCTGTGTATGGGGGGGGGGGCTGGTTTAAAATTACACCAGGGAAATTCCTGGGAGGAATTACATGCAACAGGATCCATAAGCAGGTATGTCTTGCTAATAAAGTCTCTTTTAGGGTGAGGACACTGCTCATGCTCTGAGGCCAGGGGGATGACACAGGCTGGATTCCATATTTACGTAGGCCTACTGGCTGGGTTCCAGATACAAGAAATTCCACTGGACAGGCTGCCTGGTCAGATGGCACTTCTGGAAGTATTCTGCAGCCACATGGGGACACTACCTGGGCTCTGCAATTACTTTGGTTTAGGTAAACTCACAGGATGTGCTGCCTGATAGGACAGTGCCATGGGGTTGGACTCTACAATTGGGAAGGACTGCAAACTATATTCCACAATCATTCCTGGCCAGGTAAGATCTGTTTATCCAGTTACGGTTTCCGACCAGTTGGTGTCACTGGCTGGACTCTGTTTAGGAATGGCCACAGGCAGGTCTTCATGGTCAGACGGAACCTCTGTCTGTTGAGCAAGGCTGCTGGCTGGGCTTCCTGCCTGTTTAAGGCTGTAAACTATGTTCAACAATCAGGCAAGGCTGTAAGCTAGGTTCTGCTGCAGGGCAGGGCTGTAGGCCTGGCTGTGCAGCTAGGCAGTACCAAATTATGTGATCTAAGACTACCCAGGGTCACTGTTCACACTCCTTGATTATGTGAGGGCAAAGGCTATATTTAATGATTTATATTTCACAACTGGGCAAGATTGCCCACTTGAATCCATGCCCAAGCAGAACTGTAGGATGGGCTTCACTTCTCTCCAGGTTCTCTGTCCAGATGTCCTACTCTATGGGACTAGAGGATATACTTATTGGTTGGGTGGGCCAGTGAATTTGCTGTCTGGGCCTGTGAATTTTCTTTCCTACACAGGCAAAGCCATAGAAGGGGCTCAACAGCACATATGGCTCATTAGCTGGAGACCCAAGTTGGGCAAAACTATCAACTAACTTCCATGGCCAGACACATGGCCACAAGCTCAACTTTGCACATGAGCAAAACCAATGACTAAGATCTCTGCTCAGGCACCACTGCAGACAGGAATGCTGTCTGCCTAGACTGAGCACTAGTTGTAAGTCCTGCTCACCTTCTGTCTCTGTCTGTTGTCTGGTGGTCAAGACCTGGAGACTTCCACAGTGATCCCTGTGAAATGAGTGAGACCCAAGTGGGCCTCCTAGGAAGTGTCCCCACTACACTGGGAAAGCTCTCTTCTTCCCATTGGAGAAACCATAAGCTGAGGGGGTACTTCTAAGTGCAGTGCTTTACCATCCTGAGGGAGGAACAATACAATAATGGTGTTAGTGCTCTTCTTTTATAGTCCTTGGTCTTTATGATCCTGGTGAGGCTTCAGCCTCAGCCCCAGGTCCTGGGATTTTCACAATGGTGTCTTGTCTATGGATGGTTAGTCTTCTTGTGAGGGGCACTGAAGTCAGGAACAACCTATGTCACCATCCTGATGATAACCCTCCTCCAGATTTGCAATAAATTAATTCAGGACCCTAGATTTCAATGCTCATAATGGCTTATTAGAAAAAATCTCCCCCTATTTGGACAGCCAAGTGAATCTAGTGACTATCTCCATATTATATATTTAAAAATACAGGGTAAAACTAATCTAGATGGGCAAATATTTTTCTCATCTTGTGCCTGTAGGAGTATTCACTTAGCAACTATAAGTCTTTGTATTTCTCATCTGCTCCCATTCAGTTTAGCACTTACACTGCCCAGAGTGGAATCAATACCTTAATGTAAAGAATGGTTACCAGATGAAACTGAACAATGGAAGTAATTGTCTACCCCAACTCACCCGACAACATTCATGTTTTCCTTTAGACTCTTTGAAATGGGCCTAATCTTGTGCTGGATTAGTACACAAATGTAGAAGTTATTGAATTTATCATGGATTTACAACACGTTTCTCAAATTTGCAAGTGGCAATACTGAAAAGAGAGCAAATGTGTTGGATGACAGAATATGGATTCAAAGAGATCTGATAATGAGCAAATTTGGGCACATCATCAAACAGTATGGTTCCTCATACATGTAACTTAGATCCAAAGGATCTGAGAATTGTCACGTGGAAAAGACAGAGGTACAGGAACAGACACACAACAGCTGACTTCAAATATCGGAGCAGGTATTACTATGTTGTGTGAGCCTCCAGTAGACAGTCCTAGGACTATTGGATAGAAGTTATAGGAAGGCAGATTTGGGCACAGTATAATAATCAGGTCACTGCAAGGGGTTGAATAACTCTACTGGACGATTGTTTTAGTCAAGAGGTAAGGCGTTGGTGATCAACATGGTTCCTTCCAAGTCTTAAATCCTCTAGCTACACTAAGCCCCATGACTGTGCTATCTCACTGACAATTGATCAGAGTTGTCCCACATACTCTTTTGCTTATGGAAGTTTATGCTCTGGCAAAGAAAACAGCTCCCACTTCCTGTGGTTATTTAAATATGTGATCCATCAGAAAGGTGTAATGTAATACTTGAGGTTTCAAATAGGTATGAAGAGAATAAAATTTTTGTAGTAAAAGACATGGGTATTAAGAGACTATAGCTTGGATGGTTAAACAACCAAATGTTAACAATTCTAATTGTTGGGATGTTAGGGATTGCTTTTTACAGTTTGAAAGTTGATAAAAGTATTGTTTAAGGTAAGGAATGGAATAGAGAATGGAATACACACACACACACACACACACACACACACACACACACACTTTGTGCTCACCATGACCACCAAAAATAATTGGTTCAGAAGACAGTAAATTCTGTTCCAGACAAAAATGAGAGCAGAGATTCAGTGTTGCAGATCATTAGTAGGTATTAGATGTCTGAATTTGTGTTCAATAGATGTGATGTGCTTAGCACGATGTATGCTAGCATGTGCCTCTTTCCCCTTTCTCCCATCAAACCCCAGTGTCAGGGGTCTCCTTCTATTAAGTTGAAAAGCACATTACAGAAAGCGAGAGAGCCCAGTTTAAACATCCCAGCTCTTATTTGCCTTAGATCACTTCAGACCCTGTGTTTTCATTTTCTCACTTCCAAGAAAAGGAGGCCAGTGCATGTTACCTCCTCTCCCGAGGTTCTCATGGGAGAACCATGATTCCAACTCTATGGAAAAGCACCTAGCATTCCCAAGTCAGAATCCACTGGACCTGGACAAAGGAGAGACTTTTCCCTGTGACTAATCTCCGAAAGTGGCTTTCTTTAAACCATTTCATTTGGCTAAAATGAGCACCTTTGGTGCACTTTCATTCCTTAGAAGACCACCAAGAATGGGCCACCAGAGTCTCAACACAATGACTATACTTATTATTTTATAACTACATTAGAAATGAAAATAAACTGAGAAGTTACAAATGCATGCCACTTCATGAATATCGTCGAACAGCAGATTCATCCACTGTAGAAAGTTAAAAGTAGCTTAACTTTTGGGGATGCAAGGACTACACAAACAAAGGTCATAAATGGTAAGATTATTGACAGCACCTTCCAGATGGCATGTATGTATCAATGGAAAATTTTTAAAAAGGAATATTGGCTGGGATACAGGTGGGAAGAAATCAGAAGATGCCTAAAATCTCTACAAACATGTAGGCTTATATAAAACAAGCCCCAAACTGAGATATTTAAGCAATGTTGAAATTTGGTGTAGGCAGGAGATCCCCATTTTATGACGTTTGAACACACTCTTTCTCTTGTTGGATAGCTGGAGGGGGGGTAGGAAACACATAAAAAAAAAAACATTAAGAAGGCATATTCCTATGAGTAAGTTCAGTTTTCTTCCAAGCGTTATTTGCCAAGTTATTGAAGCCTGCCATATCTGCTTTAAATTAAGAAGACTAAGGCACTAAGCACAAATCCCCAGTTGAGTGTTTGTGTTGCATGTGCACACATGTTAACCACCAGAACATTTATGAGAACATACATCAACCACATGTTTTTTTTTTCATATGAGAGGCAGTTTTACACTAATGCCATTTTTTCCATAGATTATTCTGAGACTGAAGAGGAAGTGAAGCATTTTCCTCAGATTTATCTATCACTACATAATTAGGAAGTTATACCCTTTCAGGTACTTCTGACTTAACTGCATTATCAAATAACACTGACATGACAAAACGTGCCCCTCAGGTTTGTGAATATGCTTGGAATTTTTCTATCAGGCTGTAATTCCCAAGGGCAAATCTGATCCTTTGGAGTCTGGGAACTTTGAGTGCCCCCGCACATCTAAACTTTTTCTCTACCTTATCTTGTCAATCAGGTAGAGAAAGCCAATACTGCAGCTTGTGTGGTTCTTTGGGAATGAAATCATGGACCCAACCTGCTAGATGCAGAAAATGCCTAATAACCATAAAGTGGACGACACTAACACTTTTCTAAGTCCTTATTCTAATATTCCAAGATTAGTTATAATGAGATTTTTAGTAATTTTCCAACAAGAAACTAGATTTTTATTTTCCCATTACTTCTTGGGTCTGTCACATGAGAACCACTTATATAACTGAAGTAAGAAAACAACTATTTGATATTTTTAACTGTTGCATCAAATACAATGGTACTCTAATTATTGCTTAGTCAGTGGCAAAATTTACTGGAATAGTTTATTTACTGAGCCTATAAATGTTCACCATTGTTTTTCTCCACTAGAAACCCCCAGTCCCATGACTTACTCTCCTGTGAAGGGAGAGTATTTTTTTCTTCAGTATTGGTTTTCTTCAGTTTTGACCTGTCAAACTTCTTCACTTCAGACAAGTCTGACTTATCACTCATCTTGACTAAAAGAAAGACTGAAAAAAGTTTTAACTTAAAATCAGCAGAACTAATGTCATACTAAGGAATCACAGCCAATAATTCTCATATTTAATATCAATGCATATTTTATCTGCTGATTTTCAACAAGAAAACAGCACACATCTTAGAAAAGTCATGTTTTTATTAGAATACTTTGAATTACACAGCACTGCCCCATTTCCGATAAGCAGTAAAAGCCTGAATCAGGATGCACTAGAAACCCAGATGCTCTAAAATCCAGAGTCAGTATGTCTGACTCTTTTACATCAGAGCTGAGGCCAAATGGAGGTGACAGAAGCACAAGAAGAGATAGAGATAGAAGAAAAATAAGGACCGTGTTTAACCAACTAATGATTTTGTAACAAGAGACAGCACTTATTTGAGCAAATTCATATTGCATTCAATTAATTTGGGACATTTTTCTTGGAGAGTAAGAAGCAGCGTAAAGAAAAGGGTTAAAAAAAAGGGTGGCATAGATTGCACTAGTTTCTTTCCATTTTATCTGCCCAAAGATAGATTCAGGAGCCACAATAAGAGAGGGAGAGGATTTAATCCAGTTATAACTAATTACATGTCTCATATTAGCTCTTTTTGGCACTGGTTTGTAAATGCTGGTAGAAGACACAGCTAATTAGGATCAGACCAATGACTTCAGCTGAGGGATAAACCAAATAGAGTTGATTTTTACTTCATCATGTTTTCTCTGCATAAGGAGAGGTTAGGAGATGAGGTGCCCTGTGACCATTCTGGATTTATCTGAGCAGAGACAACTGAAGACTCCAGAGACCGGAAAACAAAGCTGTCCAGCTCGTGCCTGGTCCCATTCTGGTGAGGTTAAGACACGTCTAGTGCCCGGAGTAGAATGGAGAGGCCCCCAAACAGCCAGAAGCCGCGAGTATGCCTCCCTTCCATCGAGGTCACCCCAAGACCTTCTGATGAGCGACCAGTCGCCCATCTCCAGAGGTAGGAAAACAGGGACTAACAAATAAATTATAAAGGGCTGGGCGCATGGGCCATTTTGTCAGGAGCACTTCGCTTACATTTTAAAATAACCATCACCTTTGTTGGGCGCACAGCCCACTTTTTGGCCACAGGAAGGGAGAACGCAAAGGGCCAGCTCCAGAGGGTCCAAGCCTGGCAGCACCCATATTCCTCTAAGTCTCAGGCGTGCAGCCACCGCAGACAGGCCGCCCCCTCCGGCCTTCCAAGGACCCACCCTGGGAGGACTCCGCAACGCACAGAGGCGGCGCCGCAAAAGACAAAGGCGCGGACTCTCTAGGAGGCGCAGTTAGAAAACCCCAGTCCCGACTCAACCCCACCAGTTCCCAAGAGACCGACCCCTTCAGCCCTGCAGCTGCTGCGCCCTCCCCATAGTCTTCCGGCTCCGCCGGGACGGCAGGTCCTCACCTGATGGCTTGAAGACGGTTGAAAGGAGGACGGCTGGACCAACGCCACTCCACACACTGGACGAGGTTAACCTTCCTGCGTGGCACCCTGCAGTTATAAGTCGCGGAGCCGACCCCGCTCCGGACCCCGCCCCAACCACTTCTGATTGGCTGAGGGATCCCAGGCCCTCCTCTTCGCTGCCCCCAACTCCCCCTCTCCCCGGGCTTTCGTCTTGTAGGCTTGAGTCCACTGTCTCCCCTCTACTCAGGACCTCTCTCCTGCATCAGTGTCTTGGTGACGTCATACTGGAGCCACCTCCCCAGACACTGCCTAAGCCTTCTCTGATTCCCCGAGGGATCGCCTGCCTGCCTCCCCAGTCTCTCCCACTATTTTCTTGCTAAGGATCCACTTCCCTCCTTCCCAAGTTCACTCACTCTTCCAATATAATTGGGTCCTCTACAATAAACAAGCGCTTCTTTCTTGCCCAGTTAGGTTCCAACGTCTGGAACCGGGTTTTATAGCCATAGAGTCTAAGTACTCTGTGATAACCAAACAGTGGTTTAGAAATAAAGCGCAGTGGCGTCTGTTCAAATCCTTGGCCAGGTCGTGGAGGAGGGGAGCTCCTTGAGAGGGTGGGCAGTTCAGTCATTCACCCCCACGGCTGAACTTTTCTGTCACAGTGGTGCTCTCCTATGTAAAAGTCCCATTTTCAATTTTCTCAGCCACTGAACGTGGTAGTAGTCAGTTTAGGGTAATCACAGGAGGATCTACTGAGGCTATTCATCATTTATCTCCCAATCCCTAGCACTTTGCTTGGCCCACAGAAGACACTAAATACCTGTCTATAGATTGAAGTAATACATCTGTGATAGAGCGGAAATTTGGGACAGCGGCACCCACCCAGTGTCCATGTTGGGGGAGGAAAGTGAGGATCCAGTAGTTACTTGAAAGGACTAAATGTTCAAAGTCATTTTCTGGGTACTCACACAGAACCTTAGAGCATTAAGGTAAGATGGAGATAGGACGATGTTTTTAGCTTGTATCCAATATTTGCCATATGGTTCATGTATGGTGGTAAAGATACTCTGCATAGATCAGCATCCACTCTGTCCATGAGGATTTCTCAAGCCCTTCTCACTTCTCTCCATTCATTCCTTTTTCTGTGTTCTTGTGGCACTTCGTGTTAATTTGAGAGTTTTGTATGTTTGTTGAAGAAATTTTTAAAGCAGAAAGCCACCCTCATTCAACAAATAATATTTATTAAGTGCCTACAATGTCCCAGACACTAAATATAATAAACACCAGTGTTTCCATGACTCAGGTTTGAATTTTTTTAACATTTTGGTTTATTTACTTTTTTTAAAGAATAAAAATAGTACAGAAAAACTGAGGTTCCCTTGACCCTTGCCTTGTGTCCATTTACTCTCCCACTTCCCCAGAGGTGGTCCAATCTTGAATGTGAAGTACAGTTTCTAGACTATTTTTCTGTCATTACTGATTCATGCAAATCTCTGTTTCTAAGAATGACAGAGTACATTGTGTGGTCCAGTGCTCCACGTGTAAGACTGAATTTCCACATTACTTGGGGTCAACAGGAAGTTCCAGATACCCAACCACCCCACCATAGCCCAAAATTCAAAATCTGCCTTGAATCTATCTGCCTTGAATCTATCAGAATTCACCTAATAACGATGTTTATCTTCATTTATGCCAGTTACCACAAGAACCCTGAGATCCCCCATGACACCCCTCAAATCCTTCATTTTAACCTCCATAAAGCTGTGACCACATCCCTTCCCTAGTTTATTTCTCACACCCCTTCCCCATTCCTAAAACAAAATGCACCCTCAGTAATTCCCCTATATCCTCAACCTCTTCTCTAAATGTGTCCTTTATTGTCTTCCCCTACAGAAACCAGGCTCTCCCTCTGAGGACTCTGTGTCCCCTGAAGTCCACTCAAGAGAAGTATACGATATTTCTCTCACACCACCACTGTACCACAGAACCTGAAGGTTGAATAAATGTCTTTCTTCCTTCTCATTGCTGCCTTAGGCCAGTCCTCTCTCACGTCTTTAAAAACTGCTGGCTTTTGGCAGCTTATCACCAACTAGCCTTTATTGTTGTCATCTACCAAACTTCAGTTTCCCATCTCTCCTTATATTTTGAAGATTTTAGCTCCTGGAATGTGGTCACCCTCAATGAAGTAGTACTGTCCTAATTCCTGGTGAGCTCAAGAACAACCATTCTGACACACTGACTCCCTCGGTTCCTTGAACATTTCTCCTTCATGACATTGTCTTTAACCCCATCTCAGCTACTCACTCACATGGTCATACCCTGGGCCCTGTCATAGCTATTTTAGCAACTTCTCCATAATCTCAATTTCAAACATTCCTCTTTCTAACTATCACCTCCTTTCTTTTCAGCTCACTCAGAATCCCACCTTCTTTCAAACTCACCAAAATCTCCAACCCATAGATCTTATCAGATTTCATCATCCCTTGCTCCCTTATTGATTTTTCTCCCTTCCTTCCCCAGCTTAAATGTTATGTTCAGTCTTCATTAACACTTGTTTACATGTACCCTGTACTCTTCTACCCCCTCTCACTTTGTATTGTTTCCTTGGAAAAATCATAACCATGACTAAACCAAATACACCTCAAGGAGCTTGAACCCACACAGCTAAACCTAGCTGGAGGAAAATGCACAACCACATGAATAACTTTAACTTGACTAACATGAACTTCAACCAGGCCCTTAATGCTGCCAGTAAATTACTCAATTACTCAATAGGCCTCCTCTCCCTTAACTTTCCAAATGTTTTAAGTTATGATTTCATACTTTCTCTCTCCTCAAACTCCCAACACCACCTCCCCATCCCAACTTTTCTGTTACTTTATATTTTACTAGAAAATTGTAGGTATCAAAAGTGAACTTTCACTGACTTCTACCACCACATCACTTCACCTATCCACACCTGCATCTGTATACGTAGACTTCTTGTTGATACCTTTATTAGTCAGAGTTCTCCAGAGAAAGAGAACCAATAGGATAGATAGGTAGATGATAGAAAGATATGTAGGGGATTTATTATGAGGGATTGACTTATGTGATTATGAAGGCTGAGAAGTTCCACGATCTACTAAATGAAAGCTGGAGGCCCAGCAAAGCCAGTGCTGAACTTCTGGTCAAATTCTGAAAGCCCAAGAACCCAGGGCCAGAGGGTGGCTGTGGGAGGTGGGGAGCAGGCAATGGTATAAGTCCCAGTCCAGTTTCAAACACCTGAGAACCAGGAGTACCAATGACAAGGGCAGGAGAAGAAGAATGTCTTAGCTTAAGCAGAGAGAATAAATTTGACCTTTCTCTGCATTTTTTTCTATTTGAACCCTCAACAGATTGGATGAAGCCCACTAACATTGGTGAGGGCAATTATTTTTACTCAGTCTACTGATCAAAATTCTAATCTCTCCTAAAAACACCCTTGCAGACACACCTAGAAATAATATTTTACCACTTATCTGGATGTCCCTAAGCCCAGTCAAGTTGACACATGAAATTAACCATCACAGAAATTGTCTTATATAAATTAGCCAAAAAGTCTTTAATATGAGTGAAATAGAGAAGGATATGTTTGAAAGAATGCTAAAAAATGTCAAGGAACTTTAAAATTTGCTAGTATATATAGAAAGCTATTAAATTTTAAATGCTTTTTAGAAATAATAAAACAGTTGTGTCCTAAAATTGACTAAAAGCATTTTTGGATTATTTGGGTTGTCAAAATATAAAAAGAATACCAAAAAAGATATTTTAAAATCTCAAGAGGAATTAAACTAACCTACCATAAGTAAAATAAATTTTTGCAAACTGGATTTCAGAGAACTATGTCATTAAATTAATGAGGAAATAAGTCAATATATGACATGAGACAAGTCAAATATTTAAATGACTGGAGAGAGAATATCATTTCAAAAAGACTGTAAAGATCTGTAGTACATATTACCCTATTAAACATTAAGCCAAGGACTTGTGTAAGTCACGGTTCTCCAGAGAAACAGAACCAGTAGGATATATTTATTTCAAAGAGTTTTATTTATTTACATTTATTTCAAGGAACTGTCTTATGTAACTGTGGGGACTGGCGAGTCTGAAGTCCACAGAGCAGGCCAGCAGGCGCATGCAGGAATTAATGCTGCAGTCTTGCAACAGAATTTCTTCTTCCTCTGGGAAACCTGAGTTTTTGCCCTTAAGAACTTTCAGAAAAAAAAAAAAAGTAGGGCACCTGAGTGGCTCAGTTAGTTGAGTATCTTACTTGGTTTTGGCCCAGGTCCACCTAGGGGTCATGGGATTGAGCCCAACTTTTAGCAACCTACCCTTCCTGCTGCTGAGCCCCCTGTTGGGCTCTATGTTCAGCCGAGAGTCTTCTTGCTTGGGATTCTTTCTCTCCCTTTGCGCCTACCCACCCCCACCCCCTCATGCTCACATGCTGTCTCTTACTCTCTAAAATAAATAGATAAATACTAAAAAAAAAAAAAAAAACTTTTAGTAGATTGGATGAGGCCCACCTACACTATCGAGAATAATCTTTATTTAAAGTCACCTGATTTCAGATGTTAACCACATCTACAAATACCTCTACACCAATGTCTAGATGGATGTTTAATAAATGAATACTATATGAATACTATATGAGTACTATAGCCTAGCCCAGTTAACATATCACAGTAACTAAAACGCTTTCGTCAAGAACCCTCTCTGGAAGACTAAGTAAATTCCTTTTGAAGCTTTTACTCTAACAATCTTAAGTCTGTTCTAATGATTTTTCAATATATAGATTGCCACACACTGTTCTTTCAGTTCAATAAAAATTTATTGAATATCTACAATGTGGTACGTACTATTGGAGTGCCTGTCCCCAAGAAACTCCATAAATTTGAGCTTTTGCAGTTAGTAAGTTTATTTGATCTATTATTACCACTTATTACCTTTAACCAAATGTGTCAGCATTCAAAGGATGCATCTGTATAGACTACTGAAAAAATTTCACCAGTAAGATTTGATAAGTTGCTTGTCTATCAACATATCTCTTGGATG